CCTCCACATATGTTACGTCCTGGGGATCAATTTGACCTACAGAAAGAGCACGACTATACAACGCGCTCTGTGAGTTGGAATCTGGAACCGTAATAGAGCTACAATTTGAGCCCTGATTTACGGCAGACCCAGCGATGACTCCAAGGATGTTATCATTGGCTGCGACGGCTTTGGAGAGGGGCTTCAGCACCAGAATGCCGGCGCCCTCACCCCGGCAATATCCACCTGCAGCGGCATCAAAAGCGCGCGAGGACCCGTTGGGGTTGAGGAAAGAGGCGGCAGCGAGATTCTGGTGCAGATTAGGGCTCGTTATGACGTTCACACCTCCCGCTAAGGCCATAGCGCATTCGCCTGCCAAGATTGCCTACATTTATCCATGCAACTACATCAACTTTCTGATCTGGTTAATCGAACGGAAACTTTAGTGGAATCATACCTTGCATGCTGTATGTATAGCGACCGCCGACGACGAACATGCCGTGTCAAACGTGATTGAGGGACCGGTCCAGCCAAAATAATGGCTAATGCGACCACTAATAAAGGCCCTCAAGGTCCCCGTTGCCGAAAAAGCATTCGCATCATCGCAAGCCACATTGCCCTCATAATCGACAGAGCCTACTCCAAGATAGCACCCTACCTGAATCTCCTTCCGCCCGCTTCTCGTGTGGAGGCCGCAGTACCCTGCCGCCTCCATGGCTTCATAGGCAACCTGCAGTGCCAACCTCTGTTGTGGATCCATGGATTTAGCCTCCCGTCCAGAAATTCCAAAGAACCGGTGATCAAACACGTCTGGGTGACGCAAGAAATTCCCCCAGAATGTGGACAGCTTCGGCTCCCTGCGCAGGTCCGCAGGATTGAAGCGGTTGTGGGGCAGAGTGCTAATCGTTGTTTCCCCCGCGCTCAGAAGCTGCCAGAACTCCTCCAGGGAATCCGCCTGGGGGAACCGACAGGCCATTCCCACCACGGCGATCGCGTCGTGTAAATCTGCGGCCGGTCTGGCAAGAGACAGCGATCGAGGAATGCAGGATTCCGGACCCACGGCGACAAATTTGACCCCATTTGGAGCCTCCTCGAGCGTGCATTTGACTGTCTGGTACCAGTGAGCGCGCTTGCAGAGAATGAGGTCTACCGCGATGTCATGAAGTGCACCCATGGTGAGGAGCTCTGTATCTGCGGTGGAACGAAGGGGAAGATGGAGTTGATCGCTGAAGGGCAACTGCAATTCACGTGTTTTGGCACAGATTTCTTTGAGTGTCTGAGCGGCATCGGTGTGTTTGGGATGATGATAGCAACCATCGAGGCCAATGACTGTCGTGGGAATGGACTCATGTTTCAGGCGTTCCGTCAAGCGCGCCAGATGGCGATGTGGAAGTGTGACAGTGACCGTTCGATCATCAGTGATACAAGAGATGTATGTCTAGGTATTGATCAACTAAGATTCCAATTGCAATAAACCCTTCTAGAATACATACCTCGGGAAACAAATCTATTGTGGTTTCCAAAGCTGCACGGTGTGAAGGTGATTGACAACGCACTGAAATGGCAGTTGCACGATCCGAAGTCGCCTTCAGAGAATCTTCTCGATCGATGAGAAAGCCAATGCAAGCCGCCAGACGAATGCTATTTGCAACGTATCGCTCAAACTCAGAGCGGTCATTCCTATGAGTTGAGGACACAACTGCAGCGGACAAAAACCCTATACAGAAGCCTTGCACGATAAGCTCCTCCGATGGAGCAATCCGAAGCCAGTCCACCACCTGTGAGACGATCGTCAATGGCGCCAATAGGATATTTCCCTGCAGCCGCTGTGGATCTGGAATTGCTTCGCCCCGCGCGAACCCTGCTAGTGTCCCTAGCTGCGAGACCAGTGCGACGTTCTCTCGCGTGAGGGGTGTGCTCGCCACAAATGCCTCTAACTGGATGAGACAATGCCGGAGAAATTCCCACTGGGGATTATTTTGAATCTCTAGTTGCAGACGCCGGAGGAAATCGGGGGTCCATTGAGTTTGGGTCAGTTGCGGACCAAACAGCACGAGTTGAGTGCCGCCAGTCATGGTGGATGATGAACAAGGTGGTGGTGGTGATGATGATGATGATGATGATGATATTCACAATAATGATAACAATAACAATGATCCTGCAGAATGGATCTTTGTCTGTTCACGTCGATCTCCATGTCTAATGGAGTAATATTTAGGGGATCAGAGCAGACACCCAGTGTTGGGAGTGGAAACAGAACTTTGGCCAACCCCGAGTAGAAAAAGGAAACAAAGGAAACAAACCAGCATCCCTGTCGACGGAGTTACGAGCTTCTCACACCCTTCGTAAAATCCGATATCTCCGTTCAAGTGTCGTCTTATAAATTCAACCTATGAATCCTTTGGGAACGATTTAGGGTCATACATACATACGGTCAACTACAATCGATCTTGCAGATTCATCATGGGCTCTCACCAACTCACCTGGCTTATCACCGGCTGCTCCTCCGGGTTTGGCCTCTCCTTAACTCGCGCCGCTCAGGCTGGTGGCCATAAGGTGATCGCCACGTCGCGTAACCCTTCTCGCACCCCCGATCTGGTCGCCGAAATCGAGGGAAAGGGGGGCAAATGGGTCCAGCTGGATGTTGATAGCCCCCAGAGTGGCAATGTAATTACAGAGCTCGAGAAGGGTGGAGAACAGATTGACATTCTGGTGAACAACGCCGGGGGTTCCATCTATGCGCCCATTGAGACCAGTACCGAGGAGGAGATCCGCGCCCAGATGGAGACCATGTACTTTGGCCCCCTGCGCCTCATCCGTGCGGTGCTCCCTCATATGCGCCAACGCCGATCCGGTGTCATTGTCAACATGAGCAGTGGCGCTTCCCTCGATGGGATTCCCACAATGGGGGTCTACGGTGGTGCTAAGGCGGGTCTGGACGGTATGTCTGATCCTCCACTATCGAACATGCATTTTGAGGGATCTTCCACATGGCTAACAGTGACAATATAGCTCTCACCAAGATCCTTGCTAAAGAGGTTGCTCCCTTCAACATCCGTACCCTGACTGTCGTGCTGGGGACTTTCAACACCAACATGCCTAACTCTGTGGTACTGGGCAAGGCCCCTCTCCCCGAGGACTACAAGGGTACCTTTACCGAACAGGTCCAGGGCCTTCTGCTGAGTGGAAAGATTAAGCCCAATGGCGACAAAGACAAGGCCATGCAGGCCCTCTATCAAGTGGTGGTCGGCGAAGGCGTCGGCGAGGGACACCAGGCGGAGAAGCTGCTGCCTTTGGGGAGTGACATGACTCCTCGCCTCAAGGGAATTCAGGACTATCTCGGCCACGCCCTGGAGGTGTTTGGCTCTGTGACCAACAGTGTTGATGTGGATAAATAGATTTTTTTACTTATTCCATATGTGATGAATTTACTACGTTAGTTGTTCTAAGCTAATTCTGCCTCAATTATCCCCTGCACGGCCAAGGGGGATCTCCAGATCTTGACAACTTTGTATCCCTCGGACTGCAGCAACGTCTCCCAGTGCTCCTCAGTTCGCTCCGTCCCGGCTACCATAACCATCATCGTCAGATCGTACGCGGTGGTATGCGGATGCGCCAGCGCACGGGACGCGATATGATCGTGGATCAGCAGGGTGCTGTATCCTGGCGTCAGGGCCTCTCTCTGCATGGCCAAGATCTTGCGTGCCGGCTCATCGGACCAGTCGTGAAGAACGCCATGCATGTAGTAGACCCGGGACCCCTTAACTGGCTGAGGCGTGAAGAAATCGTAGCCCATCTTGCTCACCGGGTCAGGGCATTTAGACAGCTTGACAACCTCAGGACGGTCTTGTAAATACAGGCGACTGGCCGTTTCCGGATGCGCCTGGAGAAATCGTTCCATATCATGCCCGATGTTACCACCCACATCGACCACAAGAGGGGTGCCTTCTGCCGCCGTCTCTAACAGACGTTCATGCGGGAAGATATCCAGCCACCCAGCCTGATTGGCCATGACACCTCCCATGACATGGTTAAAGGACTCACCCTCACGAGGATGAACTTCGTAGTAGTGGAACATGTCACCTTTCCAGTCCTTGGTATACTGGAAAACCCCGTTTGCCGGGTCCAGAGGAACCTTGTACCCGGTTTGGGCCAGGTACTCTGGTAATCGAGAGAAGCATGGCAACGTAGCGTCATACCTGAAGCATTAATTAGGTAAAAGCAATACCTCGCACCGCTTAAGGAAGAGAGACTCTTACAAATGATTAATCCATTCTCCAAAAACAGGTTGTAGTAGTGATTTGGTGAATGGCGTTGGCTTGAACACACCCACTGATGGCTCGTGGAGCATATGGTTGGAGGCAAGATGGCGGAGAAGACGTTCTACATGATCCAGTAAGAATCTGTTACCGATCGATTGCTTCCTCCAGGATATACCAACCCAACAGAGCAGCCTCACAAGGCGTGAGTTTGGCCAATTCGTCCGCATTCATAGCCTCATTTCCTGCCTTATCCCACTTTTCGAACAGCTCAAGGTCCTTGCACACCTTCAACGCTGCTCCCAGAGCAGGCTATCCCACCAATCAGCCCATAGATCCGATGCATACTGTACAACAGTCAGGATGAACGTACCTGGCCCATACACAGTCGAGCCATGGTTTCCCATGGCGTCTCCAGTCGTGCCACAAGGGCATACGCCGCCAGGAGAGCCCGGCTTCTCTGGTCTTCATCCTCCAAGGAAGCGGGAGTAACCCCGTTGAGAACGCTGACGATATCAGAATGGCCGTTCATCGTGCTGACACTACGGCTGTCTATGGTATGATTACCTATTTGCTGTGGTCTTAATCATTCCTAAAGGGTTTTCATATGAGTATTCTCACGAACTCGGCGATGATAACCCCAGATAGTCCTACCCCAACCCCGAGTATATGCTTCACCACAGAGCCTTTTCCCTGTACTTTTTCCCTCGAATTCTTTCAAATCTTCTTCCACCTAGAGAAGACGGCCACTAGTTTACTATCATGATCCTTGACACGCTTCCCCTCCTTGGGGCCTCTGCGCTGCTCCTATTTGTCATCCATCACCGCTTCTTCCACCCTCTTCGCCATGTCCCCGGTCCGTTTTATATCTCGGTCAGCCCGCTATTCCTATACGTAATCTGCTATCTAGGAATCGAGGGCCATGTTCTTCGTTTCCTTCACCGTCGCTATCGCACCCCTGTCCTCCGGGTAGGACCGAACAGCGTCTCGATATCCGACAGCAGCGCCCTCCGCGACATCTACATCACTAACGGTGGCTTTCCCAAGGATGCGCGCTACCAAAACTTCAACCTGGGTCCCATCGTCTCTATCTTCTCCGCTATTGATCCCGAATATCGTGACCAACGCGCCAAAGCTGTGGCCCCCCTCTTTGCTCCCGCCCGTGTTCGATCCTCCTGCGCCCCTAACGAACCCATTGGACAATCCATCGCCCAGTTCATGCGATGTCTCAGCATATATCAAGTCGAAAAGATTCCTTTCGATCTGGTTGACCTCTGCGCCCGGCTCTCCATCGATGTCGTAACAGAATATCTCCTCGGCCAACCCTACGGGGGCTTCGCAGAAACCGCCCACCTTTCCGCACCGGAACAGCAGGGCACCAAGCTCAGCGCCAACCCCTTCATCTTCGCCATAGTCGGGTTCTCGCGCTTCTCCCTCCTCCCAAACTGGCTCTTCCAGCAAGTCTACCGTCTCGCAGCCCGCCTAACCTTAACTGAAGAAGCCATCCGATCCTTCCATAAGTTGGACACATTCGCTACACAAGTGATGTCTCACGTCGATTCCACACCTCCAACAGCAACATACCAATCGCGCCTGCTATCAGCCGGGATCTCTCCCACAGAAACAGCAGCTCAATGTAAAGCTATCGTCTTCGCGGGGGCAGACTCTACCGCTGTGATGCTCACTACTATTCTCTTCCACCTAATTCAAAATGAGGACGCGCGCCACACTCTTGCCGCTGAGATCAGCGCTCATCGCCAGAAGTCCCCGGCCTTTGACCCGGAATCTGTTCCCTACCTTCGCGCCGTTGTGAAAGAGGGTCTGCGGTTGGGCATGGCAAACCCTACCCGCCTCACCAGGGTTATTCCGCCCTCAACCAATCTGCAGGTGGGAGGATATACTCTGCCTCCCGGCACGGTGGTAGGATGCGCTGCATACACGCTGCACCACGACCCGGAGGTATTTCCGGAGCCGTTTGAATTTAGGCCGGAGCGGTGGTTGGAGGGCGGGAAGGATACCGGGCTGGGGAGACCGAATATGGAGAGGAATATGATGCCGTTTGGGGTGGGTTTGAGGGCTTGTATTGGGAAGAATCTTGCACTCAGGCAGCTCTATGAGACGGTGTCCGCGGTGGTAAGTCCAGCGGTGGGGGGGGATGTTTTGCAGGGAGCGAGGATGAAACAAGACAGGATAAAGATAATCGAATGGTTTAACGGGGAAATTCGTGGGCATTGCTTGGACGTTGACTGGGAATAAAGTTTCTTTTTGTCAGGGATGTAATAGTTCATTTTGAAAGTATTGGATATCCAAAGTAGCTGCTCTGATGAACTTCCTTTTCCTCAACAACTTCATGGATTATTTAGTAGAGATGTATACCCAATGGGACAGATCTACATATGCTGTACATCAATTCAATAGCTTGTACTAGTATCTTCTACAAGCTTGTAAGATAATATTTGGATGCTTGAAATGTTAAAAGATTTTGTATATTACCGGTCTGTTGCTCTTCCCTGCCTGTGGTGGTTATGCTTAAGATGAGAAAATATATATATCTTTGTAGGCGGTTAGAGAACAATATTTAACCGCGGATAATTCGTCAGGCACCAAGGCATACAACCAATGTTTTTCGGGCAGGCGGTGAAATAGGATTTTTTATTGCTGGTAGTATCTTGTTCAACTATATTAGACCGCCTGCTGAAACGGATTAGCCCAGTGCTTTAATTATCCGACTTGATGCCTTACTGCCTGAGTTCTGGCACAGTTAACCGAGATTACCTAGCCATGGATATCCCTTTTTGACTTTAACCACAATTGCCCGGGACGCTCAGGACTATCCTTTCCCATAATTCTCCTTCATGGTGAGAGCATGGGAAATTAGTGTAGGAAAGCCCATTCACTCAATACGTAAGGAGCTGTCATACTATCTACGTAAGAAATTTTTAAAAACCATCAATTATATTGCAATCTGACATTGATACAGGGCCCAATGATATAATGTGCGGAAAAATAGCCTATAGTACGACATCGAGTTATAGGTTAAAACGTATGTTTGGACCAATAATTTGCTACAAAAATGTGAAGCAAGTCATGATGAATGGAAGATAGTACAGAGAAGTCTGGAGTTCTAACAGGCAGAAATCTATTGGCCGTTCTTGATATCGTCGGCAAGCTTTTCGGCGAGCATGTCTTATTCATGTTAGCAATCGCACTTAGAAGTGATCAGGAAGGAAGGTTGACTTACAGACAACCGATTGAGGCGCCTCTCCTGTAAACCGGTCAGTAACCCTTTTGTTTCAATAAGCTTGGGGGGGGGGAACAAAAGTACATACCAGGCGGCAAAAAGGGAAGTGCAGAGCCATCAATGACGCGCACTATCATTGAGATCAGTCAGAGTCTCCAGAATATCAGGTAAATTAACAAAACATACAATTCTGCACACCAATAACCCTGCCACGGCTATCCACGACCGCCAATGGATCGCTCTTCTTACCCATCTTACAGGTGGACATAGCATGCGACATTGGCGTGGCCGTCTGTTTCAAAAACGCAATAATATCTTCGTCTGTCCGTACACTGGGACCAGGCCAGTACTCTTCCCCTATGATGATCTCTCTCATTGCCGGGCTCGCCCACACTTGACGCATCCGCTTGAAGATGGCGACCATGGTCTCGAGGTCAGCCTGCGTGGTCATCCAGTTCGGGTTGATGAGGGGTGGCTCGCGCATGCTCGACGAGGAGATGGTGACCGTCCCGCGGGATGTGGGCGTCATGAGCGTCCCCATTAGGCTTGCGTAGTTGTAGCCGTCATTCGGGGCTGGGGTGGTGCCCAGGTTACCGATGAATTCGGGGAGGGCGAGGTATTGGATTTCAGGCCAGTCGGAAGGGTACTTTTCCAGGGCTGTTGGGTGTCAGATCAGACGAGCCTTTTTCTTTTGCTTCGCATAAGGGGAAGGGAGAGTTACTCTTTGCTGTCGCATTGGATAAGCCCGTGCGAAGAGCCGCAGGGATTTTCTCAAATCCACCAAACTCCCCTCCAGGGTTGGTTAACGGTCCGGTGGCATTAGTTTTGTATGCTACGATGTCGGCCTCAGTGATTCCCAGTGTGGACGCCGTGGGTATATTGACTCGGTGGACGATATCCGCGAAGATCTGATCCTGCATATTCTGACCGACTCCCGGGCGATCAGCGACGACGGGAATGCCGTGCTTCTGTAGCAGTGCCTTGGGCCCAACGCCGGAAACTTGCAGGAGCTGAGGAGACTGGAACACTCCACCAGCAACAATGACTTCCTTTCTCGCCTTCAGCGTGAATGTGGAATTCTTCGAGCTCACCTGGACCCCCGTGGCTACCTTTCCGTTGCTGAACACGATCCGCTCGGCCAGCGTGTTGTCAAAGACAACAAGGTTGCTGCGGCCTAAAGCGGGACGCAGATACGCTACATCCGCAGAGGCTCTAGTGCCGTGGGCTTGATTGACCGCTGACATGTGCCAGGCCGATCCATTCAGGGAGCCGTCCATGAAACTGTCCGTCGCTGGCATGCCTGCGGAGTCCAGCATGACGGCCAACCACGTGGTCCAGCTGTACGCATAGGCAGGATAGGTCACATCCAGGGTCCCGCTGTCGCTTACCTGGGCCAGATCGTATGAGGGAGTCGCATTGGCAAATCGGGTGCCGCTTCGGTACGGACTGAATCGCACAGGCTTCTTGTAGTACTGGGCAATCTTGTCGTAGGTGAAAGACTGATCACCCACTTCGTCGGCCCATTTCTGGAACGCTCCTCGGGACGACTCTCCCCAGGCCATAGCATTCAGATTAGTGCTTCCGCCCAACTTTTAAAACTTAGTTTATGTTGCATTTCGCAAAATGGCTGCCAGAAGGTGTATGAACGTACCGCCTTTCCGCGAGGGTATCGGACGACTTGATTATTGATGCCCTGTAGGGTTGAGAACGGACAACGTAAGCAGAGGAAATAATGGCCACTCAGGTGATAGAATGCATGCAACTCACAGACTGTGGGGTTGTGAGAAACCCCCAGTCGATCTCAGTAGGGGTGGAATGGACACTCTTCTGCAGGAAGTAGCCGTCGTAGCCAGGAACAAGGCTGAGATTGCCAGTCACGTCACTAGCCCATGTCCCAGCCTCAATGATCGCAACGGATACATCGGGGATCTCAGTGAGTCGATTGGCTACCACCGAGCCACCTGGACCACTGCCAACGATCACATAATCGAAAACACGTTCTTGTGGAGATCGACTGACCAGGGGGCTGGCCGAAATGGTCGTACTGCAGAGTAGCAGCAGGCCGGCTGCCAATGGGAGCAGCCGGTGGAGAGAGATCGGCGAAAGGGCCATGGATGTCAAAGCGAACAAAGCGTGGGATATAGAGACAGGAATAATATTTAAAAACTACTAGCTTTTGGTATTCTACCACCACTATTGTCCCCCAAAGGCCTTCTACTTCTGTTATATAACTTCTCTATAACTGCTCCACCCGTACCTCATCTTGACCTGTTCAGGGGCAGCATCATCCACACTGCCACGCGAGATTTGCCTCGTGGCGCAACATGAGCCTTGGGGGCCATTCATTTGATATTCCAGAAGCATCGTTTCATTGGTTTGAGGTGGTGAGAGTAGCTGACGATGCAGCCTGATGAATCCTTCGTCCCCGTGTACACAATTTACTCGGGGTTGCCCTTCTTCTACTAAGTCCCATTTAAGCCCCAAAAACGTGGGAAACGGCACTCAATCTGCACTCTATCGTTGGGGATAAGGCCTATTGGTTCTTGAATAATTCTATATTTGGTACTCACTGGTACCTGGCGGTCGGAAAGTTCGCTTTTGCACTGCTGGATTCGTATTCAAATGAAGGGGGCGTAACCGATCCATTCTTTACGACTAGCCCACCAATTTATTGGTCGGGACTACATGGTAGATTGAACCTAATGAAAGTACTTCATTTTTACATAGCGCTCTAGAGTCTAGAATAAGAAAAATGTATCTATTCGTCCAGTGGTTTAGGTTTTATCTGCACATTCACACACGATCCTGTTCCAGCCAGGGCCGTGATGACGCTTTCTAATTGGCTGTCAGTGCAAACCATGGTGACGGACACCTGGTATGATATTGACAGGCTACCCAGTGCAGGATTTTGAAGCGGCACTGCGGTGCCCATTTCTGGCCGGCTCGTGTTCGGATATCCCTGAGATAAGGCTGGAATGGTGTCCATTGGTTCGCGACCTATCTTTGTCGTTAATACTAGTATCTCAAGGGAAGAAGGAGAGATAGTTCTGGTTTACCATATGACACACACAATGGATTGGTGGTCATCTCATCAGAGATGCTTCCAAGCATGAATGTGTTCTCATGGGACACGTTGTTGTTGGGCGCTGTATCGCTTCCGAGCCCTGGCACCAACGGCGAAGGATGGTTGTTGAACGAGATAGTCGGGAGTTCACCACCCTGCTCGAAAACGTTCACCCAACCATTCGGGGTTGGTGGCAGCATTGAGAGATTGCTGGTAGACGTGGAACCCTCTGAATAGAAAATATCTTTACCGTCAACCTCATTATCTTCGTCTCCGCTGTCGTCCTCATGCCCACTGTCATCTCCGTCATCTTGGTTGTCTTCGTTTCCTCTCTGCTTATCTTCAGTACTGTCACCCTCCTGATCACAGCCCTCTCCTAGTCCCATGCTGGGTGTTTGATCGAATTTCGGGACAGATTTCTCTTCGCTTCTATTGTTGTTTTCATGCCTCAATCGCAAAGTAGCGTAGCGGTTCTTTAGTGACAGGGTTGTTCTTCGGGGGACGTGGGATGTGGCGATGACGGTCCAGTTGGTGCCATGCGTAAGGACCTCGTGCAAAAGTTGCTCATCCTATTCACTATCAGCGAGTCTCTGGTAAAAGACTAATGGAATGAACATGCCTCCTTGCCGGTCCAGTCACAGTGGTTGATCTCTGGGTCGAGTACTTGACTCCAGTGACTGGAACATTGATCGGGAGTTCTCGAGATGACCTCCTGGGCCACCCTACGCCAGTCAGTGCCATATTTATTGACAGCTCGCATCAAGCGCTCGTCCTCATCCTCCGACCAGAGACCCTTGGCAGTCCCATCTGCCAAGCTGTTCCACCACCGCCGGCGACAGTCCTTATTCGACCGTCCAGGCACCGATTTCGCCAATTCACGCCACATGAGCGGGCGAGACTGTTCCATAGCTGCATAGTTCAAGCCATACTTAACATCAGGATATTCTTGTACATGACAAAGAAAAACATAAAGATAGAACCTACCAGTTGTGACGGCATACCGGAGAAGAGAGTCCTCTTCGGGAGTCCACTTCCGCCTTACGCGGGGCATAATGTTGAATTAAGCAGACCGACCTATTCCACCCTAGCAACAAGAGTTGAACTAGGTGCGAGGGAGAATTACAATTTCTGTTTTCACAGTGCTCTGGTTTTGACAGTATGATGAATTTGTAGTCGGTGAGTTCCCGTCCGCGTTAGGGCGGGGTGGTTACGAGTGAGAAGTAAGTAAGATACGAAGAATCTAACATTCCTCTGTCTAAAGATTGGTAGTTGAGCTAAGCATCATTCATTGGCCAAGGAAAAGCTTTGGATGTCCTGCGGGTGAGATTAGGGGCAACAAGGATGAGGATCCTGAATCAACGGATAGTGAAATATTTCCGTATGTCCTAGAAGGCCATGCCCATTACCCAGGCCCAGGGTGACTGGGACACCTTTGCGAAGTGACCGTGGCACTAGATCCTTTCACAGCACACTAAATGATGTCCAAAGGCGCTCTCTGCTATATAAAACGGTTCAATTTCTATCATCCCTGCCTGGTCGCACTACGGCTGCATTAGGGCTTAGTAAACACATCAGCATCTCAAAACGGCCGGAGCACGGAATACCTCTTATCGCGACGCCATTGTACAGAGACTGGGCTATTCGAATACTAATAACTTGGCGATAATGCACTTGAGGATCATAACGTGGTACGCTAGGGATGTGCAAACAGACTTTCGAAAAAGCTGCTCATCCTTTGCAGAGTGAAATGGACCTCGGACCAAGACCACTAGTACACCGGTCAAATATTAGTCGAGGCTTAACGCCCCTGGCCTTACATTAGCGTCTCGTACCTAGTGTGATCGCGCTGATTTGCCCACTTCTGATACTTCCCGCATCCGGCACGGTGCATCCTCCCGCTGGTGCGTGTGTCTATCGCAGACCTATACCTCGACTGCACCCGAATGGGCCTGAGCGCAAACTTGGATACGAGGCGGGGGAGTTCCCATAATTACTCCGTGGATCCTCAGGTGTTTGAAGCCGTTCGCTTAGATTCATACACTTCAATTAACTTTCAGGGTCAATAGAGTCTTCCCTCTCTAAGACTTAAGCCACAGATAGTTACCCTCGGCCTGCACTTCATTAGTACCTGTACTATGCACAGTGGAACCGATGATACATTGGGCCAATGACAGAGCCTTCATACCTTTTCTCCACGAATTAAAGCTCTCTTTGTTTTATCTTGTTGCCATTCATTCACTTCCAGTCATTCGTGTCCCCCTCTACAGAGCTTTAGAGGAACCTTAATTAAGAAAACGTCAAAGTTCGACAATTTTCTCTTGCAGATTTAAAAGAATACAGTAGTGACGATCCTTGGACTTTATACGAGAAACTCTATATTGAGTACATTGATTCGACACCTGGATCCCCACATAACCATACAGTGAGTAAGAGGTATTCGTTCTAATCCACCCCCCCGCCGCCAACGAACGGCATAACAACCAGCTCGGGTACGTTAAGGAAGAGACAACGATGTCAAAAGAACAGTTCAACAGCTCCAGCGCACACATGGTCGGGACCCTCCAACTTCCCGGTTGAAGTCGTGGCCGAAGAGAAGCAACACAGCATTAACTGTAGCTAAGACAATGTTCATTGTTGCCCTCTACTCTCGCCTGGCCGCGATGGCATGCACATAGCGAAATGTTAGGGGGCATTTGAGTTGCAATGTCACTCAATGCCGACCTGAAGAATGAAGGAGACACGCCACCAAAAACAGACCCAGGGTTGTTCCTAATAGTGCTACCGCCAGGAAGAAGACTGATGCGCCGGGAATAACCGCCTGCCATGCCCCCAGGACGAATGGGGATATCAGTCCTCCCACACTTTCCATGAACGTCAGCGCAGATATAGCCTGTGGTGCGTTCGGCATGAATGAGACAAAGTGGGCCTTGAAGAAAGCCGGGACTGCCAACCCGGCGGACGAGAGAGCAACTGCTAGGTACAACTGAATAGGGCTGCGCACTTGGGTAATTGCTGACAGCGCAACCATTTGCAACACAAGTGCGCCGACCACAGCATTGCGATCCTGATGCTGCACCCTCGAGATATCTGGATGCCCCCATCCGAGCCAATGACCGAACCGAACCAACATCGGAGCCACATAAACCTGGAAGGAAATTTGAAATGCGGCACAGATGGCGGCTGTGGAGACGATCAAGCCATTCTCGAAAGTACCAAAGTGAAATCTAATGGAGGCAAAGACCATAATAACGGGAAACAAATGTCCTTGTACGGCTGTATATAATAGGAGCGACAGTCCGTAAGGTATGGCCGTCCGATTAACATAGAACGGCCGTAGAGGGGATAGCAGAACTTGCAGCGGAGATTTGTGCCATCCTGGTTGGGCAGATTCATTCGACGCAGTGCAGGTAGCATAGCGAACAGGCTGACGCACAAAGACGGCCAGGTAGGCAATCGTGAGAGCAAAAATCATCAACGCCGTCGTGAAGCTCGCTGTATAGCTTCGGAAAACTGTGACTGCAATAGGTGCCACGGCGGTACCTAACATATAGAGCGCCAATGATGCTGCAATCGGGCGTGAAGCTTCCTTGCGTGTGGAGGAAGTCAGAGACACGTAAATAGTATTCAGATTGAAGTGCAGCAGATTGTCCGACGCCAGTCCTTCAAAGACACGACCCGATACTGCAATCGGCACACTCCGGGCGGCGACTGTTTTCTATCATCAGCGGGCGGTAGTTCAGGATTCTTTCTTTGGTACTGGGGCAATCACCTCCGATAACCAAACATACCACGCTTGCTGCTCTGCAGATAATCCACAGGAAGAGTCCAGCCCTGAGGTACCTGTTCACCAAGTGTTGTAAAGGTCCCAGAATGAGAATGGCTATAGTATGAGCGAGGCCATTTGCTATGGCGACAACCGCGGCGTAGGCGCTTTGTTCGGAGTCTTCACAGGCAGTGGGATCAGTGCAAAGGAGGTCCGCATAAGCATAGATAGTTGTAGCTACTGTTGCCGCCATTCCCAACGACGCTAAGAACGAAACGGGGAGGAATTGAGATGCCGTAACATGGTGTTGGGAAGAAGCCTCGTTGTGTATAGGTGGATTGTCCGTCGCTACGCGTTCAGAGAGAAGTGGTGCTGTTTCACTGTCAGAGTCCATCGTGTCGTTTGGCTTGAATGTGTCTTTTTCTTGGACTGTCCTTCTTACCATTGCGAGATGAACGATTACATTAGGGCTAATTGCACGGCTTCGGTGACCGGGAGTTGATACGTGCGGAGCCCGGACACCACTCAAGAGGGCATTCGTCCGCATTTTATATCGCCAAAGTTTCAACCTCTGAGACAAAAGACATTCATTTTGTTCTCTTAGATTAACTACACTATTTAGAAAATAATGGAATCATTGTTGCAGCTCGAGGCCGCCCTGCGAGCTGTCGTGGAAGAGTCCAAGCAACCCAATAGGGCGGCAGCTTTCGCATCACTCCGACGAGCAGAGCCAACCAATGACCCAGCCCTCACAGCAGTGGCCAGTCGTATAGTTGACCTAGCATCAGAAGTTACTCAGCTGCTTGAGCCAGCATATCTAGCCCTTGTCGATCATCTATTCGGTGCGTTTCAGCTCACCCATGAATTACGCAGGTTCTAACATACTATGCTAGGTTACCAGCACACACAATGTCTTGCAGCGGTAGTAGAACTACGAATTCCGGACTATCTGGCATCTGGTACTCAGACCATCAAGCAATTATCCATTTCGAGTGGCGCCAGATGCGACCGGTTGCGTCAGGTCCTACGCTTATTGTACAATAACGGTGTTTTCTGCTACGATGGGGATACCGACTCTGTGCAAAACAATGAAGCCTCGGAGATGCTGAAGCAGGATCATTGGACTCAATGGCATCGGTGGGCGAGTGTATGCAGTCAGGAATTCTATCAGATGGCCCAGGGGCTTCCTCAGGCCATGGCGGACGGTGTGACCCGTAAGCCTCTCCTTCGGATGCACTTCTGACGGTGAAATCCATGCTGAATCTAAAATTCCAGGCTCCCCTGCACAGGTGCATTATGGCACAGACGAAAGTATGTTTAGCTACCTTGAGCGCAAGGGCATCATGATGCGGTTGCGAGAATGCATGGGGGCTGCTGCTATTGCTCAGACTCCCGGCATGGTCGCCGGGTATCCATGGGCTGAGCTGTCTAATCACACTTTGGTCGATCTGGGTGGTGGGGATGGTTCCTTGATGGCAGGGCTCCTTCGCGCGTTTCCGACCCTCCAAGGTGGAATCGTGGATACCCCTCGGGTCCTCCCTTTTCTCCAAGAAGCATTTCACCAACCGTCCAGCAAATACGCTGACGTGGCCTTGCGCATCCCTCCGGATCGGGTCATCGCGGGAGACTTTCTTCAGGAAGTTATCGCGTCCGAAGCGTATGTGATGCGCTGGTGTCTGCATGATTGGAATGATGAGCAGGCATGTCAGATCTTACGGAACATTCGCCGGAGCATCATCAACAGCCCCGTCAGTCGCCTAATTGTGCTAGAGTCGGTGTTGGCTGACGGCCGATGGGGACGAATGTCTCGGGTGGGAGACATTAATGTGATGGTGACTGCGGAGCATGGCCAAGAGCGCACCGAGACGCAATGGAGACAGTTAGCAGCCTGTACAGGCTGGAAGGTAGTCAGCATTACTCAACTTCCGGGTGCCTGGCCTTCAGCCATAGATATGCGACCTGTGGAGAGTTTGAAAGTGTGTAACTAAACTATCGTTATATGTTAAGACTTTTCATTAACCTTCTATTATGACGCACAAACATTTGCCCCTCTAGATGAAATACATATCACTAATGCAGGAGCGACTGATTGATTTCCGCAGTTCAATCTTTGGAGAAAAGGAACATATGAACAATTCTTCGTCTCGAACAATAAGGGACAGACAGTTTGATCACGACAAAGGAGGATACTGGATAGCAATCCCGGCATTTAATAGTTGAAATTGCTCTTATGACTATCTAGTCGTGACGGTATGAAGTGCACTGCCCCGACTCAGCGCTTCTAAAGATGGCGTCCACCATGCGGTACCGAACAACAGCTTCGTCTAGGGTTACGATCCGCTCTGTGTCGTTGTCCAGCCACGCCTGATATTCTGCACCTGAGACTATGGTATTGTCTAGGGAGATCTCCTCCCAGCTGACAGAATCCGATCCAGAAGACGTCATCAAGAGCTTTGGCGGGATAGCGTGAATCATCAAACTTGCTCCCTCCATCTTCAACGATGCTTTCTCGCCGGTGATAACCCATTGAAAGAAATTTGGGGTAGTCGGGGGATGCGAATACATGCACACCGATACTGGAACCTCAGAATCGCCAATATTACCGTGAAGAGTGAAGGTATCTGGAGAATCATTAAACTGACCAGTCTTGAGGTTGCCGTGGGTATCGCACAAGACAGGCTTCGGGAACAACATGCTGGTGTGTGCATGGAGGGTGGTAAACTCGCCCAGGAGGAAGGCCATTGCGTCGAGTAAGTGACCACCGGCAATAGTGACAATATTGGCTCCTATAGGTAGATACTTTAATTGTCTGTCGCATGCGCGTAACTTGGGGTTTCATCACATACCATTCGCCTTATCATGAGAGTGTCTTTTGTCGGCATGGAATTTTAGAAACAGGTCGTCTGTCACGAGTAGATTGGTGGCCAGGATGCGCCCCAGAGCTCCGGAGAGGAGTATCTCTTTCATCTGGTGCACGGACTTTATTAGAGGTTTCCATACTGGCAGTCGACACGACGACCTTACCTTCAAGACCTGCGGTGCCAGCCTCGTCGGTAAGCCAACCATGCTCTTCACTTGCTGTTCGCGCGCGCGTTGTGCCAACGCTTCGGCCTCGACCAAACTCGAGGCAAATGGCCATTCGACATAGACGTCTTTACCGGCCTCAATAGCGGCCATAGCCAGCTCTGCGCGACGAGGAACTTTGACAGAGACGACAACCAGGTCCACATCAGAGTCTTTGGCGAGTGACTCCACGCTATGATATCCACTTTCTTTCGGCAGGCCGTGCGCAATTGCTGCCGCCTCGGCCTTCTCTGGGGATGACATGGATACTGCCGCAATGTCATATCTTTCTTTCAATGGGGTTGTTGTCAAGGGGAGCTTGTGAATGTAGTTGGTGCAATGACTGGGGTCAGCCGAAAGACCAACGATCCCTAAGCGAATACGCTTTGACATGGTCGCTGGCTGTGTGCGACGTCTCTAGAATGGATGGCAGTTAGTTATTCGTTTAATCGTGCGTGGAACGATGCTGTTTATGGGGCCGGGCTGCTTATATGGAGTCTGGACACCGAAGGAGGCTGTCGGTCACCGGGAGGAAATTTAAAGCATTATCCACTCAGCCCTAGGAAAATTTTCTGTTCACCTTTCTTGGCCTCCTCGCTCCATCAAGAGATCAACTCTCTGCTCATTCCACGGGTGGACTATACCCAGCCATGGCCACCACAATAAGGTACGGCACCAGGTTGGAACACCTTCACGAAGCAGTGAAACTCTCCTCTCACGGTCAGACAGCGGTGTCGGTATGGATCAACGATGATATTCGCCCCCTCCCACCAAGCCGGCGTACCTGGACTACCATGACATTTATTGGATGGTGGTCGGTCTGGCAACTCAGTCTGACTAACTGGCAACTGGGCGGCTCGCTCGTGGCGTCGTCATTGTCGGTATGGCAAACAATGGTGGCGGTGATTTTAGGGAGGACAATTGCGGCTATCGTTGCAGTTCTAATCGGATACATTGGGGCCGAGTGGCATATCGGGTTTCCAGTGTATTCGCGAGCCATCTGGGGGGTTTTTGTAAGTAAATGAAAGCCGTGTTCTTGTATCGCGAACCGAACCGAGACAGTCTAACATGGCTGTGATTCTCTAGGGCGCCTTTTTCCCAACCCTATTGCGTATTGGGCTCACGGTCGTCGGGTTCGCTTTTCAGTCCTACACTGGTGGCCTTTGCGTGACAGCAATTCTCTCTGGCATCTTTCCTACCTTCTTTCGGATGTCCAATACTTTACCCCCATCCGCGCATGTCACATCTCAGCAGATTATCGGATGGGCCATCTTTAACATCATTTCGATTCCCGTCCTTTATCGCCGACCCGAAAGAAGCGAGAGGTTGATGATTGGAATGAATATTATATCCTTTGCAGCCTTACTGGGCATCATGATCTGGTCTTTGTCGCACGCCCACGGCGCAGGAGACTTAATCCATCAACCGTCGCAACTGCAGACCAGCGAGTCCTTGGGATTCGGAATCATGCAAGGCATTACTACGGTGGTCGGAACCCTTTCCATTGCTCTGAGTAAGTCATCTCTCGTATATCCCCATCGAAGAAGATGTTCCTAACCACCATCCAGCGAGTCAGATGGACTTTTCCCGCTTTGCTCGAAAGCCGAGTGATCAAGTCTTCGGCCAATGGTTCACATTCATTATCATCGGCTCCATCATGCCCTTGTTTGGCTGTTTGACAAGTTCTGCGACGCAGGCGATCTATGGTGAAGCACTCTGGAATCCTCCCACCATCCTCGCCATGTGGTTACAGAAAGATTACAGTTCCACCTCCCGGGCGGCTGCGGTATTTGCCGGGATAGGCCTGGTGAGCTCGCAACTAGCATTGAATGTGGTGGATAACGGCAAGTAATCCCCCGGCACATGAAGACAAAGCTTTACTAACCTTGGGCAGGATATTCGGTGGGTATGGACCTCTCCGGTCTGCTCCCCAAGTATATCAACATCCGACGCGGATGTTACGTCGGACTCATTCTCGGGATGGCACTTTGTCCGTGGGAGTTGCTGGCCTCGGCAACCACTTTCGTCAGTGTGATCTCGTCGTTCTCGATCTTCATGGCCCCGTTCTGTGGTATCCATATCAGTGACTACTGGTTTATCCGGCAAAGACGGCTTAAGCTTTCTGATTTATACCACGCCCGGCCAGAAGGAATCTATTTCTACACCATGGGTTTCAACTGGCGGAGTGTGGTTCCATGGCTTGTTGGATGGGTTCCTCTGCTCCCTGGGTTCATGCACAGTATCAATCCCGCCATCGAGGTGTCTGTAGGGGCTGATCATCTTTACGCACTCGGGTTCCCCTACGGGCTGCTGTCTTCTATGGCCATCCACACCCTCGTTAATAAGTGCTTCCCACCACCAGGCGTTGGAGAGATTGACCGGGACGATACCTACGGAACTTTTACGGTCGAGGAGGCGGCGGGATTAGGCGTCAGCAAAGACTCCACGGAGGAGGATAGTGACAGGTCGCTCAGCCGTGAGAGTCGAGAGGTTGTGGAAACCAAGGTTTAGAATGCTGTCCGTGTACGAGAATATGACTTTAGAAGCAAGGAAAGAGAGTGTGAATATGTATTTATACTTCCAAGCTGGAGCATCTCAGGAAGTCTCACCTTCATTATTTATCAATAGAACTACTCAATCTGACTACGTACATTCCCTCCATTTTATGATAGATGAATTGTTTGATCAATCAGGTGATCAATTGAATACCAGAGCGAGAGGCAAAGCAGTATCGCCATCAGGGTGAAAGCATCCGCTTTGCTCACCCTCTCAGTAACTTATGCTCCCACTGAACAACTATTGTGTTAACGTGAGAATCTCTATACATGAAATGGTGTATAGTCCATCAGATCGTGCCTTCTAAACGCGGCATACTTTTCTTAACACCTCTACTTGCAAACCTAGGCATGGGTGTCTGCATTTTACTCACAAGATATGGTAGTCAAAGTGCATAGTATGGTTTCATGCGAAGGCTTGAGGAGCAAAGGAATAATTATTGCCATACTTTGCCTTGCACTCGCTCGAACATGATTCTCACGCTGATAAGAAACATATTCGTTAACCAGGGTGAATACAATAGCGATGCCTAAGATCCATACGGGAAGCCTCCTAACAAGAATTCTCGATATCCTGTACCAGTCTTCCTGCTAACAACTGGCCAAATGGAAAAAGGAAGCATCACTTGGGACAGTAAAGCTCCCCGGGCACAGTTGCGGAGGTCTTTGTTGAGCAGAGCCCTAATTCTCCCGGTCCACGGCGATCCTTCCGGCTCCATGCCTAGGGGCATGGCCGGTGGTATGCCTATACTCGGCTACCGAGCCGCACAGCTATGTATCTCTATCGGAATGACCGAAGAGTGGCTATGAGGTGAGGTTGTAGTAATTCCAAGTTCTCGAACGATATTTCATATATATGGCAGCGGATTGTAATCCTCGTCGTGCTCCCATCAGTATCTAATATCCATTACGAATGACAATGAATCCTTCAACGCATTTATTGATACAGCAGTTAGCTGCCTCGTTAGAGGTCAATACGGCCGAGCTAGATCTCAATTCTGGTTTCGTGCACAATGGTGGCAATTCTCTCAGCGCCGTGGACTTTGCCTCACGATGCAAAAGCCTAGAGGTTTCACTGCCAATAGCCTCTATCCTATCCTCCACAAACCTACGATCTCTATTCACCGACCTGTTATCATCAAAGTCCAATCCTATTCCTATCCCAGATTCATCCGATGACAGCGACAATCTATCAAACCCCTCCTCTTCAACTGGAGGCTCCCCACGGGTAGCCACGCCAATCTCCAGCAATGTATCCACTGCTGCCGAAGACGACTATCTGACACAAGGGAGCGTCATGACCCAACATGTCACAGAAACCCTGAGCGAGATGCAAGCGTCCCTCTTGCACGGCTCCCTCAAAAGCCCCGGAACGAATATCATATACCATTACGAGACCTACCGAACCGACGTGATCCCTATCCTCAAAAAGGCGTGGAAAACAGTCATTGAAGGCGAGCCGATATTCCAAGCCTCCCTTCTTGATAGATCAGCTCAGAACCAAGAATACTTCACTTGGACAGAAGTAACGGTGGAGACAGAAGCGGAGCATCGCGAACAATTACAGACCCTTTGGCTTAAATCAGTATCGTCATCTTTCAAAGTAGTCCACTGGAAGAGATCCCCTCTTGCTATCGACCAAAGCACAGTGATCTGGGCTGTTCATCATGCGCTGGTCGATGGTTATTCGGCTATGCTGCTATTTTGCAAAGTCCGCCGTGCTATAGCGGGTTTACCGATTGTGCCCGGCCCATCGTTTTCCGATGTCGAGAAGCGAATTCGCAATTGGCGTCAGGAACACAAGAGTGAAGGGGATGAGTATTGGGCAGGCCACGCAGCTCATCTTGAACAAGCCCAGGGGGAGCTCCTCCTTCCAGCCCCGGCACAAGAAGGGACTTCTTCAGCAATCACTGAAAGTGAGGAAGTCTACGCAGCACCCAGTGTCTCCACCGCACAATTGCACTGTGTGGCCAAACGGTTGGGGGTGACACTCTCCACTTGTTACTATGCGGCATGGTCATTAGTCCTCAGCCTATATGCGGATTCAGCCTCGGTGGTGTTTGGTGCCGTCCTAGCTGGTCGGAACCTTCCTTTGGAAGGAGTGGATGAAGTGGTTGGACCTCTAGTTAATACACTCCCCCTCTGTCTCACTCTGGATCGACAACAGTCGGCGCAAGATTTTCTCAAAGGTTTGTTTTCTCGGATGGTGGAGCTGGCTGAGTATCAATGGACCACACCCGATAATGGCTACACGAGGAACTTCTCCTCTGCCATGGCCATGCAAGTCCCAGGGCCTGAATGCAAAGACGGCGTGTCCCCATTAGAGCCTCCATACACACGTCAGACCACTGATGTCCCACTGAGCATCAATATCCTAACCGATGGCGCAGCTCGCTTTGTCTACCACACCAGTCACTACAGTCGGGCGGATATTGTTCGTCTTGGGCAGTATTTTCAACGCGCGTTGCAGCTCCTCCTTCGACCACACAGACCGATAGAGGAATGCCTTCAGGGGCTCTTGGGATGTGTCGATATTCAGACCCTGATGGGCTTTGGTAACTGTAGCTCCGCTCTGACCACAACCGTCGCTATTAAAGAAGATCTGGTGACGCTATTCGAGTGTGCAGCATCGCGTAACTCGATGGACATTGCTGTTCAAAAGGGCAGCTGCCATCTTACATACCAGGAGCTCGACACTCACGCGGGTCGGGTTGCGGCTACATTGAGAAGTCATATCCAGGATGGAGAGGTGGTCTGTCTCCATGCAGATCGGTCGGTTAATTGGATCGTTGGGATCATGGGCATCTTGAAGGCAGGGGGTGTATACTGTGCTTTGGACAAGGCGTTGCCTCAAGAGGCCCGCGAAACCATCTTCTCAGCCTCTGGATCTTGTCTGTTTCTGGTCCCTTCGGTCTCCGACCAATCCTTTTGTCCGACCAATTGCGATCGTCTCCTAGTCGTGGAAGACTTGGTGAAGGATGAAAATATCCCCATCACTCATCGTGACACGCCTCGACCACAAACCGATGCGTATCTATGCTTTACGTCGGGGTCGACCGGCAAGCCCAAGGGTGTGATGTGCCTCCATCAGGGACTAGTTGCCTTTCAGCGCGACCTCGAAGTTCGGCTGTTCGCACAGCCTGGCCGCCGAGTCGCTCAGATCATGTCTGTAGCCTTCGATGGCAGCATCCACGAGATTTTCTCGGCGCTCAGCTATGGAGCGACTCTGGTGCTTCAAAGTGGTGATGATCCCTTCGCACACTTGAGCGACGTGGATTCAGCTATTCTCACCCCATCCATGGCTCGTGTCCTCAACCCGGCTGACTTCAAGAGGCTCAGTACAGTGAGTACCCAAGATTTTCTCCCCCTCCACATAGTCCACATTACTGACACTGAGTTACCTTAGGTTTACCTCGTCGGCGAGCCCGTCACCCAGGATGTCTGTGACCGATGGTCTGAACAAAAGGCGCTCTACAATATGTACGGCCCTACGGAAGGGACCTGCGGCGCGACCATCAAACAGTTGCATCCCAGAAAGAGGGTGACCATTGGACCCCCGAATCCCTCTACCCGCATCTATATTATGAATCAAAAGCAGGGGTTAGTCCCACCGGGTGTTATTGGCGAGATTTACATTGCAGGAGTCCAAGTGGCGCGCCATTATATTGGCATGCCCGAGCAAACGGCGCAAAGGTTCGTGGCAGATCCGATCATCCGCATTGGGGAGCGTATGTATAAAACCGGCGATCGAGGGTACTGGTCGGAAGACGGGGAAGTCGTCTGTCTGGGACGAACTGATCGCCAGATCAAGTTGCGCGGCTTCCGTCTCGACTTAGATGACTTAGAGACTCGCATGATCCGAGCCTTCCCAGCAGTCACTGCTGTCGCACTCACTCGGCAGGGGAACCATCTCATCGCCGCTATTCTTCCTGCATCGACCGATGTAGATGCGTTCGCGGCGCGGGTGGCTCAGGTCCTGCCTCCCTATGCGACACCACGCAAGATATTGGCCCTAGATGAATTTCCTACCACCAAGGCCGGCAAGCGAGACTACCAGGCAATTGCGAAGCTCAGTGCACAAGCACCTGTTTCAACAGGTCGGGCGTTGACTAGTTCAATGGAGAAGCTCGTCGGCGACGCCTTCCGTGATATTCTCCAACTGGGCAAAGATGTTGCACTACATACGCATTCCAGCTTCCGGGAGCTCGGAGGCCATTCGCTTCTCCAGTTACTGCTGGCCACTCGGATCAGTCAAGGGGTCAATCGACAAGTTCCTCTCTATGTAGTTGCCCAGCATGATCGCATCGACCATCTCGCCGCCGCCATTGACAGCGGGCCAGGATTGCAACAGCTGGCAACACCCGATCCAATGGGTCTGGGAGAATCAACTATTGCTCCTATTGAGAGAGAATGGTGGCATAAGTACCAGATCAATGAGAGTACCTCCAGCTTCAACGTGAATTTTATGGCCAAGATCAACGAGGGTCTGGTGGATCGTGCACGACTAGTCCACGCTTGTAATGAGGTTATGGCCCGGCATCGCGTCCTGCGCTCTCGGTATATTTTCAATCGAGCAACTGGGTGTGTGGTGCGCCAGTACAGCCCGCTACCACCTCGAGTGCAGGCAGTCAAGACTGTGAACCCCTGGGTGGAAGTCAATCGGCCCTTCTCTCTCTCTCGGTCTGCTCCCATCCGCGCCGTTGTGTCAGATTCCTACTTCATCCTCACCATCAGTCACATCGTTGCCGACTTGACCACCTTACAGATCCTCCTTCGAGAGATCTCCTCACATTACCAGGGGGGCAGTCTTCAAAGTATTCCATACACGTACATGAATAGTACCCTCTGGCAAGAGAAACCCACCTCCTGCGATCTCGACTTCTGGTCCGATTGCCTTGGCCAACTCCCAGCCACTACGCATCTCCTAGGGCACGGTGGCTTTCGACGCGGTTATCGTGGCCGGTCTGCACTTTGTGAGATTCCAACGACGACCTACCAGAGTATGCGACAGTTCCTTCGCCAGTCATCCGTCACTGCTCAACAATTGTCCCTTGCCGTGATCGCACTCTGCCTTGACGATCCATCCACGCTCATGCCAACTGAGACCGACATCGTCTTAGGAATTCCGTACATCAACCGCAAATCCCAAGAGGACTTGGATGTTGTGGGCCTATTCCTTGAGCCTTTACCAGTTCGCATCAAGTTCGGCCAGGAGGCACATGATAACGAGAAGGCATCATATCTCGATACCGTGCAACGGGCCGTTCGATCATCAGTAGGCCACGCCATCCACTGGGACCAACTCCTCGAGCATCTTCAAGTGCCCACCACACCTCCAGACCATCCTCTGTTCGATGTCGTTGTCACCTTCCACAGTCAGAGTCATTCAAACGGGCTGGAGCTCTCCGTCCCAGGACTCCAAACCTGCTACACCTACGCTGAAGGAGCCAAATTCCGGCTCCTGTGCGAGTTCAGCGCATTATCTGAAGACCGACTACTCTTAAGATTGGAGTATGATACTGATTGCTTTACGGAAAAGGATATACATCTCCTCCAATCGAGGATTCCGCTGGCCCTTTCTCTCTTGGTGCAGAATGTACCGTATGATATGATCCGGCAAACACTGGCTCGTCCACCAGAGACAGGGCCAGCCAAGGTGTTGAGACCGGATGTGGTGTTTGGGACTCCGCTCTCTGATATCCAGTGATATTGCTTATGGTTGAAATGCTTTGCTGTAATTGTTTATTGGGCAGTGCTCTTTGTTTCTAACTTTCACCAAGAGTTCCAGTTGTATTTATTTGAGTAACTACTTCATTGAATCCAATAGCTTGCACCTACAAAGCCAAGGTTTTATTCGGCATTTAGCTTGCTCATGCTCAATGTGGTACTGTATTCTAAGTTAGACCTATAATAAGACAACCCTTGGTTTCATGGAACCCTGTATGCGTGACAGCAGAATAAAGATGGATCTAAAATCAAGCGATATCATTATTTGGCTTTGCTAAACTGATATCTACTCAAAGAAGGGTTTAACATCATCCTCCAACGGCAACTTGTCTGCCAGACTCCTAGCGACGTGTTCAACAATGCCCAAGACCCGAAGCACGTTACCGCCCGTTACTCCGACCAAATCGTCGACGCTGACCCCCCGGTCCAGCAACTCCTGAATGAGATCCGGATACTTGGACACATCCTCTAGTCCCTTGGGCCCATGCGGCATTCCGTCAAAGTCGCTCCCCAATCCGACGTGGCGGTAGCCGATCAGGTTGCCGACATACTGGATGTGATCGGCCACATCTGCGAGAGAGGCGGCGTCTGCATCGTGGCAGTTAGTATACTCGGGGTAAAGACTGATCATGACAATTCCATCATTCTCCTTAAGCATTTGGAGAAGGTCATCGGGCACGTTCCGAGAGTGTGGGCAGAGGGCGTACGCCGAAGAGTGTGAATACATGACCGGAGCCCGAGACACGTTGAAGACGGCGCGTTGAGTCGCCACACTCGTGTGGGAGAGATCGACGATCATTCCCACTCGATTCATCTCCGCAACGATCGCCTCTCCGGCGGCGGAGAGTCCGTCATGCCGGGGCTCCGCCGGAGCTTCACTGTCGGCATATTCATTGTGACAAGTATGCGTGAGGGAAGCATACCGCACCCCGAGCTCGTGGTACATACGCAGGATACTAGCGCTGCCGCCGATCTGATGTAAGCCCTCAATGCCCAGAAGACTGGAGATGCGCTCTGGGGAGTGGTAGAAATTGTGGTGTACATCGGCGACCGAGGATGCCGGGACGAGAAAGTCCGGAAAGTGGTCGATCATCCTGTGCACGAGGTCAATCTGCTGGAAGGTGTCCCGCACAATTTCATACTGAGCTCCAGGCTCATTGGGATTGCGTGCACTGGATAGAGTCTGTTAGCACTGCTGCGCGTCCCCGTTGTCACGGCCTTACCATTCGACGTAGACACTCCAAAACTGCGCTCCCAATCTGCCCTTCCGCAGTCGAGGAAAATCAACCTGTCCGTAGAGCTCATTATGGCCGGTAAAATTGGCTTGGTAAATATGATTCTGGTAGAAAGCACGAGTCCAAATCGCAAAGTCATTATGCCCGTCTAAGACACAGATGGTCAGAATCCTACTCACATACTATCGTCGAGAACATACCTGTCAGGGGCACTCGGGTCAGCACCTGCTCCAAGGGGGACTCCTGAAGGCTCTTTCTCGCTAGAAAGAAGGGGAATGCTTCGGGACGTAGAGTAAATGTTAAAAATAGAGCGACAAGCGTTAGAGTCACGGAGTAAGCAAGACTCCGTTGACGCTTGCCCCAATGGACTGGCTCAACCTGGAGTGGCATCCACTCGAGATCTCCCTTTTTGTCCATAGTCATGGTCAGACTATGTGTATTGGTTATAATAATGAAACGTTTCGGCGGGGTGCATTATATGCTCTTGCTCAAGGACCTTCGTGGCATTGCCCGTAATGCTGCCCAGGACAATGTCGCCCTACGGAGACCGATGCTATCACGGTTGCCGGCCCATTATGGATATAGTGGCAACAGTATACGCGCATTTTCTGCAGTCATAAAGCGTTACTATAGTCTAGACACCTTCCGTCGTCACAATGGATTGCTTTTTAATAGATGGAAAGATGCTGTGGATCCTCGTGGCAGTTGTGGTTACCGTTGGAATCTCGTCACCGTATGCAAAACGGATTACTATCGAGATCTTGTCTACTATTCTTGATGTATGTAATCCAGATGTTCAATCTGTCTTCATTCTAATCATAGCCAGCGATACCTCCGTTCACGCTTTCCGATCTTCTCGGTGGACGGCAGTCGCAATCTGCCGACATGCCCATACAAATGGCCCAATGGACAAGGCGACGTGGCGAAGTTCCTCCAGGGCATTGAGAACAGCGACCTCTGGGAAAAGGAACATGGACAGATCTATCGTATTTGGTCGGGCATGAAGTCGGAGGTGTAAGTGGCGTCCAACTCGTATCTCCCGTCATTATATTAACAGGGGCAGGGTTCTCACACAGCCTAGCCATCTGCAGGCTGTTTTCAGGGATTCCAACAAACACACCAAGGCCGAGAACAACAATTCCGGTTATCTTATGAGTGAGCTTCTGGGCCAGTGCGTCGGACTGGTGAGCCGCGAACGATGGCGGACTCTTCGCGCCGTCACGGAAATCCCGTTCCAGCATGATAAGATGCCCTCCTATCTCGAGCTCATTCAACAGCATACGCGACAGTATTTCGATCGCCTTCTTGCTTCGGGTGACTTGAGGCAGGAGAGAATCCACCCGGCTCAGGATCTGAAGATGCTTCCATTTTGGATCGTCGCCGAGATCTTCTACGGGGAATGCGATGCAGAGATGAGGGCAGAGCTCCAGCAGCTCTGTGTGCTCCGGGAGGGCCTCTTCAAGCAAATGATACAGGGCGGAATCGTGCGTTGGCAATGGTCCAAGTATCTCCCTACGGCGACGAACCGAGCTCTGGCCGAGTTCCAGCACCGATGGAGGACCTTCAATCAGCGAGCCTACGACCGCGCATGCCGACAACGACGTACACTGCCCATCGTCCTCATGACTGAGGCTGCCAGGGCGGGAACAACTTCAGTTGAGCAGATCTACCAGACCATTGACGAAGCGCTTTTCGCCAATTTGGACGTCACAACCGGCGGAATCTCCTGGAACCTCGTCTTCTTCGCAGCCCATCCGGACATCCAAGAACGCGTTCGACAAGAGGTTCTATCTGTGACGGACCATGACACGTATCTGCTCTCCTCCTCCACCCTACTCGCCGCCTGCATCTCCGAATCCGCCCGTTTGAAGCCTCTTGCTGCATTCACCGTTCCACAATCTGCCCCGACTGATCGCATTATCGGAGGTTATAACATTCCAGCCGGGACAAATCTAGTCGTGGACACCTATGCGCTCAACATCCGCAACGGGTTCTGGGGACCAGACAGCCAGTGCTACCGGCCTGATCGCTTCTTGAAACATCGGGCGACGGAGCTGCGGTACCAGTATTGGCGTTTTGGATTTGGTCCCCGGCAATGTATGGGTCGATATGTCGCCGATTTGGTGATTCGGACGCTGCTGGCCCATCTCGTAGCCCATTACGAGCTAGGCTGGTTGCAAACAGACCCGGGCAAGAATAGTACATGGCAACGGGACTTGGAGTCGTGGATTACGATTCCCGATCTGTATCTGAGATGTACTCAGCGTAGGAATGTTTAAAGGGGACGTGACACTCAAATAGCGGCCAATACTCTTGTCACTACATGGATATCTTCCACGGTTGCTAGGACCACACTTGAACATAGTGCAATAGACAAACAACATACAATCGATTTAACATTGTAAAATACTATTCAATGTCCGAGGGTCGGAGCGCGCTGTAGAACCCTTGCCACCGCAGGCCGACTAAGCATTCTCTCGCTCCAGCGCTTAATATGGGGCCAATCCTTAATATCCACGCCGAGGAAGGTGAACATCCAAGGCATGGCAAAGGGAAAGTAGGAGAGATCCGCCAATGTGGGCCGATCCTTCAGCGCAATGTACTGTTGTCCAGGCTCCTTCAGCCTCTTCTCCAGGATATCCCACTGTCTGAGTGTATTTGCATGTAGCCTATCACCAGCCGTCAGAATCGTACCCACAACGATCATTGACAGTGAGAGATAACCTACTTTTCAATTGTCCGAGGGAGTTGAACGGGGTTGGCCCGCGTGGGATAACCTCTCTTGAAATACAACCAATACTTGGCTGTTGGTCTGTGACATGGAATGATTAGAACAAATCGCGTTCCCTATTCCCAGGGAGAATGTCCTTACCCAAGGGCGGCAGTTTGGTATGCCGTCCACGATAGAATGGCCCCCTTCTCGGCCACAGTTCGGCCACTCCAGGTGCCCTCGGTGTCGAAGCGATCGACCAAGTACTGCAGACAGGCCGTGCTCTCAAAGACGATCACCTTCTCCCCGGTCACCGGGTCTTGGTCTTTCAGGGATGGCACCATCCGCTCGGGATGAATGCTATAGAACCATTCATCACGGGTGTCAATCACCGAGAGGACATGCGGAAATTGTATCTCTTCGGCCAGGATCAAGGGCTTGATGTAGTTGATGTAGGAGGTTTCATCCGCTGCCGTCCGGTTACTAGGAAGCGTGGTGGACAGAGACGATGACCTTACCTTTGATTATGTAGAGAATCACTCGGCCATCGTATTCCATATCCCCCATAACGACGGCCCCATTGGGATCTGACAAGATGGCGTTGCTAGACATTGTTCTTTACCAAATGAGGTTACGCGTTTAGCCGTCTGGGTGAGATAAAAATTACAAATAAGGGTAAGTAGAGCAGGAAGGTTAAGACGAGTAGAAAGGGTACTGCGCGTTGAGTTTATATCTAATATGTGGGCTAAGAAATTCAAGTATGCTTTCGGTCCCCGGACTCTGAGGCGGATGGCCGGAGGTCAATGGCACAAACCCATGCGCGTCGCATAGGATAGATCCGGGAAACTGCCCAGCCAGATGCCGCAGCCAACGCCCTCCATTGCTCCTCGGATCGTTCCTGACCGTTCGCGGTCATCATCATATTGATATCGCCGTAACGCGACAGACGTCCCATCTGACCATCCGAGAGATTCGATTCGAGAATCACCAATCGACTGTCGGGTCCGGGAATCAAGGCGGCGCGGATACAGCGCAGAATCGTGAGAACATCCGGGTCCTTCCAGTCATGCAGAACCCACTTGATCGTATAGATCTCAAACGCCGGGACTGATTTCAGGAAATCCCCCGCAATGAGGTTTTCGCGAGGGACTCGCTCACGTAGATCATAGTACGGTCCTTGGGGCTCGTGGAAAAGGGTACACGCGTGTTCAATGGTCCGCGGAAGGTCCAGGATCCCCCCTCGCATCTGGGGATACTCTCGTAGCAGGGACGCGAGAAATCCGCCACCACCGCCGCCGACATCGAGGACGGTCCGGGAGCCAATCTCGTGCCAGGGATAGTCGGCAACGATGCCAGGTGCTTGGGCAATAGCACCTCCACCGAGGGTGCGGTGCAGACGCGGCAGCCAACCCTGCGCCTGAAAATAGGTGAACATATCGTCACGAGTGTCAAAATTTATTTGGGCAGCCCACCGCGCCTCCTCGCGCCGGATGGAACGAGGGATCCCCCGGGCAATATCGTAAAACTCATTTCCATACAGGTCCACCCAGTTGTGCCACTGTGTCCAATGCTCCGAGTGCAGCAGTGTCGACACCCGGTTGTTGCGGTACCGGTGGGAGACCGCATCGTAACCAAAGATGTTATCGTTGCGTAAAACTCGTAACACCTGTTGCAGCCGATCTGGGTGTGCTCCACTGACATCGGCTAGTTCGTCCACGGTCATACCCGCCTTGTCGGCGCCGGCGAGGATGTCGACCAGCTTCAGCTCCACGGCTGCACAGAGACATTTGGTGCTCACGTAACCTGTTTGGTCCCTGTTAGTGGCTCCTCTGAACGCCGATACAGGGTATTGCCCGACCTAAGAAATGATCTGCAAGGACCAGATGGCCCGGTTCGAGCAGCTGTTGGGTTTCATGGAGAAGGTTGATGGTCTTGCCGGCCAGGGCTTCCAGGGCAGGATCTGGCAGTTCCTGATCAGTATGGAGCGTCTGAAGCAGCGCCTTTTGGCTATTGCTCTGGAGGATTTTAAGTGTCTCATCCACCTGTCTGTTTAAAGCCTCCAGGCTGGTTTGGAGCGCGGTTCGTTCGGCATCGGTCAAGGGGGAGTCCATGGTCGTAGTCATTCCCGTAGAAGAAAAGCTATGGTTGTTATGAAAAGTTAACGGACAGTTGATAGGGGAAGGCTTTGTCCATATTATAACCCTTCGCGCCATGATTTATGACGCTCGATAGCGGCCATTCGGTCCTTAATCGGCGACCGACGCCGGACACTACGCCAGACAGACAGCAACAGCCATATATCCAACTGGGACCGACAGGCTTTCCCTGGCTCGACGAAATATTCTGCAAGCCCATTCTCCATCTTCTTTTTCTGCCATGTGCGATTCTTCTCCGTCGGTGGCGGACGTGCTGATCATCGGCGGTGGTCCTGCTGGATCAAATGCGGCATGGGAGTTAGGACAAGCGCACCACCGTGTGATTCTGTTCAATGCATCCGATGACCGTCTCCGCGATCCAGACATGAACGCGGGTACCACACGGGCGGCGCTGGACCTTCTTCTCCATTCCCGTCGTAAAACTCCTGATGTCTTCCACCCCTTTCGACAAGAGATCGGTAAGGAAAGCCCCGAGGTCAGCGTGCGCAGCCAGCGGATTACTCAGGTGCGGCGACTGCCGAACGGGTTATTCGAAGCGGCGGATGATACTGGTCATGTCTGGATGGCAAATGTCCTAGTTCTAGCCGACGGCGCAGAGGAGATTCTGCCTGATATTAACGGGTACGACACCTGTTGGGAACAACAGCGCATGTAAGTCTTCCTCTGCGGCTGGGATGTTCTCATACCACTGACAGATGGACCAGCTTGACACACCCCGCTGAAGATGAGCCGGGCTCTCTCACCTTCAGTTGCCTCGCCGTTTTAGCCGTTGGCGATCTGGCCGAGTTGACCATGGCGCTGCATACGGTGTGGCAGGCACGACAGTTCGCGGCGTCAGTCCGTGTCTACACCCATGGTGATGAAGATCTCGCCCGAGCCCTCGAGACACGGATTTCCCCAAACGCCGGAATCACCATTGAGACGACCACCATTCAATCCTTAGAACCTGGGGCCGATTCCCCATCTCAGGTCGTCGTTCACCTTGTGGATGGCACCTCAATCGTTGAGTCCCATGTCTTTCATCGTCCCGCATCTCAACTGCAAGGGCCATTTGCCCGTCAATTGAATCTAGAATTAACTGAATCGGGGGCTATTCGCATCTCGGCGCGTGTCCCTTACATGACCAGTCTGGATGGAGTGTACGCGGGGGGCGATTGCGCGTCCCTCGGACAACGTACGTTGTTCAAAGCATTAGCCATGGGCCAGGGCCTGGCGGCGGCTGTGGCAGCACGGTTAGAACGGGGGAAATGGGGAAATGCTGTGGAGGAACAGGACTGAACCTCGAGTCTTGACTTTTGTGTCCTCGTGGTTTGTTGTATCTTTAGTTGTTTCTGTTGTGTGTGTACTGGATTTCTTGTTTGTCAATCAGTCAAACATTCCCAACCTAGCTTAGTGCTCTTTTGTTACAGGTTCAACCCAAACAGATCAACTGAAAATGGAACCTATGAGTCCAATCGAGAACGAGGGCTTTGGTCTTCTTCGAGGACGACATGATAGAACTATTCAGGATATTGTCCCTTTGGCACTATATATGATAGTTTACGAACCCGTAATCTGAATATGAAGGTCGGTTGCTGGCCGACAGGAGTCCACGTTCTGCTTAACACGTTGGGCACAGAGATATATAATCTCACCGCAGAATCAATGCTCTCCGTAGTATCATCAGCCAACATATAACTATCTACAATCAAAACTCCTTGTAAACTACAATGGATTTTTCTTTGGCTTATCTGACACGTATAATCCGGGTTACCAATAATATAGAACGTCAATGGAGTGATTTCAAGTTCTGAGAGATATTCGTGACGCGTTTTGAGCGATGGAACCTGAAGAATCAACAGATTGCCTCTTGTGGCAGGCGGTCAAAGGTTCTTTTATGCCTCCGATCCTCAGGCACCAGCCCGTCCTTTCCACTTGTATTTCGCTATTTTTAATTCTTTCTTTGTTTCTCCATCTAGTCAGTGGGTCAACTCCACTCTCACCATGGCACAAAGTAAGCACTAAGGACAGCGGGATCGACATCCGTGGGAAGACTCCCCGAGCTAAAAGACGAAGATCCACAAGGGATGCCTGAATGGCCTCGGCGACATTTCGCCCCAAAAGTCTCCGGCCTCAATCTTAGGGATGTCGGTGACCGGGCACAGGTTGAATTGAAACGAAGGTGGGAGGGAGAGATTTAAAGGGCGTTCTGCCCCCAGAGCTGGCCCCGCGATTCATTTTATTCCATCAATCTCAGTGCTATCCCCTTCTCTTCTCATACCATGGCTGCTCCGCTCTTTGATTGTTTAATTGTCGGCGGGGGTCCTGCTGGCCTGGCTGCTGCCCTCGGTCTCTGTCGCGCGATCCGCACGGCGGTTGTTTTTGACTCCAAGAGTTACCGCAACCCGACCGAGCATATGCACAATGTGTCCACCTGGGATCATGCCAATCCCCATGACTACCGGCTCGCCGCGCGCAAAGAGCTGACCGAGGGCCGTTACAACACCGTGACGCTGGCTGACGTGGCCTTGCACAAGATCTGGAAGCTCGACTCCGGTGAGTTTGAGGCCACCGATGCTGTCGGCAAGGTCTGGAAGGGGCGGAAGTTGATCCTGGCCACCGGAGTGAAGGATGAGATCCCAGAGCTGCCCGGATATGCCGACTGCTGGCCCAAGTCCATGTAAGTCATGATGACCTGATACGCGCAGCTTCCATTCTCACCTGCTGGTATAGCTACCACTGCCTCTTCTGCCACGGATTCGAAGAGCGCGATGCCCCCTCCGTCGGCGTCCTGGCCATTGGCCCGGTTGCCAACCCCAAACCCGCCGAACATCTCTCTCGACTCGCCCACAACCTTGCCAAGACCGTCACCATCTATACCAATGGCAATGAGGAGCTCGCAGCGCAGCTCCGCCCTTCGATCGAGAAGGACCAATGGTTGACCTTGGACAACCGGGTCATCAAGCAGCTCCACAAGACCGACGGTATTCCCGTCCGGGTGGAGCTGGAGGATGGCACCACGAAGGAGGAGGGGTTCTTGGTTCATGCCATGAAGACGACGCCGCGCTTGGACTTCGAGCATAACCTGAACTTGGAGCTCTCGGCGCAGGGCACGGAGCTCGTGGCGAGCCCTCCCTTCAGTGAGACGACCACACCGGGCTGCTTCGCCACGGGCGACTGCGGCATGGCCATCAAGGCGGCCAGTATGTCCATGAGTAATGGATCGCTGGCAGCGGTGGGTGTGGTCTCGCAGCTGGCGTTTGATGAGAAAGCGAATTAAGTGTGATATCCCTGGTGGAAGTAGTTCATGAGCGAATCCTTTGTTATAATAATATACTTATCCAGTGATCCTGTGTCGGAACCGCTTCTGTAGCTGTATCGTGGTAATCCCATCAAGAAAACATGTAGGGGTCAGTGGCTTAGAGATGAGTGGAGAGTTTGTAAATCATTTACCCCAATTGACGAATTTATAGAGAGTTCAAGGCATGATGTTGGTTTGAAGTACGGGAAGGGCAACGTGACACGGCTTGGTCCAGACTCATTCCCAACTCAACCCCTACGACGAAGTTTGTTCCAAATTTAAGAAGAAAACCAGTTGCCATTGAAATCATAACCGAAAATATACTATAAATCTTCCTACGCATGGTCCTCATAGAAGACCAAGCACCGCACTTCAACACTTTCACGCAGCGGAGCATCTTCCGGGGTATTGGGATGCTGGAAAGCACAATGGGCACACACTGTAAAACACTGTGAGCCGACGTTCCACTATCAAGTCAAAAATGAAGAACATACTATGTCCCGAAATGCCTTCCTTGCTGTCCCAGATCTTGATCAACGTGCATTCATCGGTTTGTTGTCCATCGAGATAGTACCAGCGTTGGTTCTCGTCGTGACTGATGCTGACGGTCTCACCACGGAGCTCAAATCGGTTGCGGTAGAGCTTGGTCGGATGGATATGCGCTCTGGCTAATGTACTGCAGTCCATGACAGCCAAGGGCCAGTCTTGGACGGGGCCGCGGAGAGGACGCCAGACACTGCAGTCACTGCGATGAGATTGGAGTCCTCTACAGGGAAACGATTACATACTTGACAATTTGCGCGCGACCCTTGAGAAGCCGATCGGCTTCTTCGGGAAGATGCTGATAGACGCGGCGCCGGGCACCAAGGGGAGACCTGCAGAAAAAGGGTCAATGGAGTACAGATTGGAACGGCGTATGGCACCTACTGGTCGCAGTGAACCTGGCACTTATTAGCTGCGGGCTAGTTTCTCACGGCCAAGAACGCTTACCGTGCTTGCGGGCTGCTCGCGGCCATTAGGGTTCTTCCCAGCCAGGGAGACCTCGCGACGTCGTACCGTGTGATCGAAGACGACCACGCGTGACGCGCCCGTTTGCCGCTTGATAATCTGCTCCACGAGGGGATAGTAGACCTCGCGGACTGCCTCCTTGTCTCCAGCGTGGATGGTCTCCAGAATCTCGGGGCGGTTGCCGTCGGAATCCACGGCGAAAGCAAAACCATGCGTGTCGAGCTGGAAGGAATCGCGGAGCGGACGAGCATCGTGGACGGTGACACTGTGTGGTTGCTGTGTGAAGTTGCATACCTCGAAGCCCTCATCAGCGGCTGATCGATAGAAAGGGGGCTCATCCGATGCATGACGGGAAGCGATAAAGCTCATTTGAGCGGGATAGTGAGCGAGAGAGGTCATATTGGAATCAGTCGACGATTAGATTGTGCGAAGAGGTGTCTGTGCTAAACAAGTTTAGTGAAGATATGGCTGTCCTCTCTGACTCACGACATGTTATGTACTTCTGTTTCGCAACCCCCGGCTGCGTCTACCAGTTGGGAAGCCGATCGGTGACCGGAAGTGCTTATGGTGGCCTATGTATATCATGTCCGATGGGATGTTCATCCGTGCATCGGATCACTCATCTTGCCATCATTTGAACACACCTGCTAGTAAGGGCTACGTCAACGCTTTGTCATAATGGCTTCTGAATCCTCCATCCCTCTCCACGACTGCTTGATCATCGGCGGCGGCATTGCGGGCTTATCGTCCGCCCTCAGTCTGGTGCGTACGCTCCACACAGCAGTCGTCTTCGATGAAGGTATCCATCGTAATGACCAGGCGCCTCATCTCGCCACCGTTCCCACCTGGGATAGCCAGGATCCGAAGCGCTTCCGTGAAGCCGCCAAACTCAACATTCTGAGCAAGTACAGCACAGTCGAATTTGCCAATGTCAAACTAGAGAAGGTGGCCCAGCTCACAGATGGACCCCACAAAGGATATTTCTGTGTCTGGGATACCAAACAACGACAGTGGTTGGGACGGAAAGTGATCTTGGCTATGGGAGTGGAGGATGCTCTTCCCACGATTGACGGATTTGCGGAATGCTGGACCCAGGGAATGTACGTATCTCATGGAGACACAGGTCGAGTTACTCTTCTAAACTACTGACACTCATCTAGCTTCCATTGTCTCGTCCATAGGGGCTACGAGGAGCGTGGATGCGCATCTGGAGGCGTTCTGGCTATTGACGGTGATGCCAGCTTCTTCGCAGCACGGCATCTGGCCTTCCAAGCGCGGAACCTAACGGATAATGTCGTCATCTACACCCATGGAAATAAGGGGCTGGCTCAAGAAGTCGAGCTACAGCTGGGGCCCTGCGGCTTCCGGGCCGAGTCGCGACCAATTGCAAAGTTCGTGCAGCACCCCAAACGGGCGCAGATGGAGGTTCACTTCCAGGACGGTCAGTCCGAAATTGTTGGCTTCATCGTGCATCGGCCGCGAACCAACATTCGTGGGCCATTCGCGGAGCAGTTGGGCGTGGAAATGACTCCAGAAGGCCATATTAAGACACAATTCCCCTTCAACGAGACCACTGTTCCCGGCGTTTTCGTTGCGGGAGACGCCGGGTCACAATTCAAGATTGGCACGCAGGCGGTGGTAATGGGCGCATTTGCAGCCGGGGGTGTGCAGATGCAAGTGAATGCAGAGAAATGGTCGAAGCCACTGAATTCGGTGGTATCTCAGTAGTGATGTTGTATATGGCAAGAAGAGGAAAATGTTTAATTGTATCTTCGATCTTGTATGTATCTCGGGCTCCGAGCCCGACGAGTCGCCGATTCTCAGCCCACAGTAGCCCTAATCCACACATGAATCTATATAACGTCTGCACCCACCACTTTATCTTTTACAATTTGTATTTCACTGCCCCCAAACCAATAATGTCTCTCCTCAGTTCTGCATGGGCCGCCGTCACGGTGGGCCTCTGTGTGGCGGTCGCTCTTTTATCCGG